CCCACTGCTGTTTGGAACCACTGTTAAGAACAACTCTCACAAACTAGAGTGCCATCTACCTTGCACCTTTGGGAGCCTGACAAAGCACGTCTCAAAAGCGTGAATCGAATCCATTTGCTTCAAGAAAGTGAGAAAGGCGCAGACTTCATAATATTTTACTTTCCCCCCCCCCCCCCCCCCAAAAAAAATACACGCTCATATTTTTACTGCTAAACTCACTGATTTAATTTTCCCCAAAACTTTTTTCCATTTCCCTGCCCAGCCAGAACCTGGCTGAAGCTGCCTCTTGCTATTTGGTCTTCTTCACAAGAAAGAGTTAATTGGATTGGAGTCCATGCTCCTGCACTCTTTCACAGAGCCAGGCAGCTGGCTCAAGCACTAGAGATGGAGTCCAGTTTTCAGGGAAAGATATAGGCAAGCCAGAAGTATGGGCTGGCAAGCTCGAGTGTTTGGAAAAAAAGCGTACAAGTAAAAACTGAGAGCTCAGAAAAGGAGTCAATGAAGCAGTCTACACATTCTAGGCACACACTACCAGAGCTGTGGAAGGAAACAGTCAGCCAGTCCACCTGGAAAATTCTATGGGCATAAAAGGCCTGCATGTGGATTCAGTCAGCAGGAGAACAGCAAAAGGGAGAAAAACAGGAGAAAAATAAAATACTTCATCCTCTCAAGTAGTTTTCAGCATGTCTAGATGCAACAACTGATATGGATGGTAGTGATTAATATATTCAATTAAGACAAAAGTTATGAATGGAACACCGTGATGAAAGCACACAGGTTCTCCAGACAGTGGATTAAATAAACTCAGTTTGTACAGTACCAATTCTGTATACGGTATTTTCCCAACAGTTCCTTTGAAACATATCCCCTTCCACAAATACAAAGCATAGTAAAATAAAACCATTAAAACTAAAATACAATTTAAAGTCTTTGTTACTTGACCAAGTATTAATTGTGGTGCTAAATGTAATGAAAGTCCAAATCTTGTAATTACTTGCAGCTGTCTATTTTTATGCAAAGGAACTATTAAGACTTGCCAGTCTGGGAACCACAGTTCATACTACAAGACTTTCAGCATTTCTTATACAACCCTATTGGAATTCAATTAACAAATATCAGAGAACAAGACATATCAGAAATGAAAATAAAAAAAAACACACTCAGAAAATGAGTGTTTCTCCAAGAATACCTTGATCTTCTTTTATCAGAAGAGTATATAAATAGTACGGTACTAAGACAAAAAAAATGAGGTGGTGGTAGTCAGGTTCTGGAAAAGTATCTCCAGGACAACTAAGTATTATTTTATTGTAATTGCACCTAAATGCACAACAGGTGACTAATCCATTGAATTATATAATTTTGTTTATTTTAGTAGTATAATCAACATATTTTACTCAAGTGTATGAGCACACTACAATATCAGAACTATTATGATATAGAGGTATAGTAAAGGTATGAAGTATTCTTGGTATGTTCCTCCACCTCCCTGCCATGGCAGAAAACCACTGCAGTGATCTCTTGCATTCTGATTTACTTCCAAGAAGCATGACCCCTTTTTGTATCAAAGAACACAAAGATAAAGGCTCAGAGAAAGACAGACAGATGGGTTTCTACCCAGAGGTATCAGATACTGACTGATCCCAGCAGAAGGTAGGTAACTGAATACTTTTGAAGAACTGGACCTAAATTTAAACAGGAAATAAGAGACATTCTCTCAAGTTAGGAGCTAATATTGTAACACTGGAATGCTCCTTAATTAAAAATAAAATAAAAATTAAAAAAAAAAAAAACCAGATGCCACTAGAGGGAGCAGATATTCCTACAAAAAGTAACAACTAATAAAAAAAAAAAAAAAAAATAAAAAAAAAAAAAAAAAAAAAAAAAAGGCCTGTAGCATCTCCAGCAAAGCAAGAGCTCTTCAGATGTAGTTGGACATTGAATGAAATCTGTGTAATTTTCACATGTACCAAAACGACCAAAAAGTCAGAAGCAAAAGACATACAAGGAACATAATGAATTATTTTCTCACATACACGGTACTAATAAACTCAATGCTGATAAAATCCAACCAACCCAGTACTACTATCCTGCAACTATTCCAATGCTGACATCTATTTCCTCTGTCTGAATCATTGCAATTGTTGAAAATAAATTTGGTCTAGACAAGCACAAGGAGAAACAAATGCCATACTAACAAACTCTCACTTGTAGCTGACAGAGGACAGGATTAACTCTTTTTTAACTGAACAAAAAACCTTCTCTAAGTAACAAAGCCACTTTTTTTTGTTTGTGTAACTGTTTACAAACCATGCCTAATCCAATATTAACACTTTTATGGTCACAGAATTTGCTTTTTCAACATTTGGCAAAAATAATGTAAGTATTAAAGTACATATAAAGCAGGACCACAGCACCTCTAACAGCCTCCACTTGTTCATGCTTTTAACACCTCTAATGCTGCAATGTCCTACCAACCTACATCACCACGACATCACAAAGTCCTTAGCTGACAGGTACGCACTAGCTGTATTCTCACACCAAAACATTAACAGCCTTAAATATTTCAAAACTAAATAGTAAGCACCATATAACACAACTCATGTAAAAAAACCCAAACAAACAAACCAACAAAAACCCCCAACTTCTAGTGCTGCTTTCCACATATTTCTACAAATAGCACTCCTGGTGACTTCTGCAAGAACAACATTTCTCTGTAGCTTCTAAGAGTGCCATAGCTCCTAACCACGGATCTCTAGTTCTCATGTGAAATAAGTCTTTGATTGTTTTAAAAAAACATTCTGGAGAAAAATATTTTGCTTTTGAAGTCATGTGATACAAATTTTTCTGCTACATTTCCTCAACGTATGCTAGTTAAGACTGAAAGAAGAGAAACACTAATAAAATGGAAAATATTGAAGGTAAGTAATGTTGATGATTAGAGCTGCATCTCTTAAATATTTTTGAAAATAAAGATACATGTTTAATAGGTGGATATTCAAAGTGAACAGGACTAGAAGTTAACACAGGTTTCCCCAGTGGCTTCACCAGAGATGGAATCTGCCTGCAAAACATGAAACATTTTTTCCTCTTTCAATCCTGGCAAAAAAACCCCAACCAACCAACCAAACCCCTCCAAAATAAGAATACAGTTCTGGAAACTTCAATTCTAAGCAGTAATCAATTATAACACATTTCAGTCCTCCAAAAACGTTTTTAAAATAAAATACACCTTCCAGTGCTATTACACATTTGTAAAATGAATTTTATTTGTACACCAGTCCTTTTATATGCATCTCTAGTTTAAGGTAGTTTTTAATTGTTCTGACTACCAAATGATTTTATTTTAAATTTACATCTCCCATGTGTATTTTTTATAGGTACACACACAACTCCTCCTATGTAAACTACAGTAACCATGCTATGGGGTCAAAGACGCACATACGAAGTCAAAGCCAAATTCAATTCACAGTGCCTTAAGCATGAGAATGTCTCCTCTCTGCAGCTTTCCATTTCACATACATGTATCCCACATAATCTATCAGGTATCAATCTATACTGTTAATATTCCAAAAACTTGTGAGAAAGTTTAATTTCAAGATTATATTCTTCAAAATCACCTCGTTCCAGTACTAAATTTGTCTTCTAGATGCCAAACATTTTTACCAAATAGATGCTCCAAATGTTAAATGCATGGTTATAATTGACAAGCTACTTAATTTATATGTAGTCCAATAAAAAAAAAAAAATAAACAAAAATAGGATGCTTCAGTGAAAGGATCACTTCAAATTATTAAAAAAATGCCAGAAATACACTGAAGATTTTTTCAGAAAGTTCAATTCCAGTAAGTTTTCAACGTTTCTTGATATTACAGAAGTAAATACTTGGAATTCACAGAAGTAGGCGACAAAGAAAATACTGATTTCAAAAGGATGTGAATTCAAACTTAAATGTGGTAACGTGTAGATCTTTTTACATAGATTAGTTATACAAGCTGAATACCAAGAGCAAAAAACTTTTAAAGTACTAAGTATGAGCAAAAACTACAAACAGAGTAAAAAAGATGCCCATCACTGAGCAGTGTTCCTGAGGAACAGCTGTCAACACAAGCTGCTCACACACTGATGTATCTATTCATCCATCCATCCTACATTTTTTCATACCTTTACAAACAAAAGATTTCTCTGTAAAGACATAAAATATCGAGGGGGGAAAAAAAAAAGGGTATGGGGACGTTTTTTTCCACGAGTAACATTTTTATGATTCTATCACTAGACACTTGACAAAAGTGTTACTCTCTAGCATTACAGTAGTGGGCAACATTCCAGTCCAAACTATGATTAACAAAAAGTCACTATAAAGTAATTTTTCTAAAAATCACAGTTTTCAATCAACAATTTATAAAACCATGTAAAAATGTTTCTTCTGTGGTTCATAACTAGAAAACATTCTATACTGTCAATGAAACTATCAGCTTCACTGCACAACTGCCATCTACTTTAATTTGGAACCAGGGGGGAAAAAAAAAAAAAAAAAAGAGGACAGTCCATGGCTCAGTAAACATTATGTGATTCACATATGATCCTTAAGTTGTATGTCACGTAAACTAAGATATGTATTAGAATCTTATTAGCCAAGCAAATTTACTCAAAATTTTGTTTATGAGCGGGACTTACAGTAGAATGAACCTTTATGCTTCTCAGTGGAAATCTAGGAAGCTATTTACAGTCATCCAATTTTCCAGTAAGTTCTATACATGATTCAGCCTGTATTACACTACACATCCTGCAAATATATCACTTGGACATTAAACCGTAAGGAGTATCTGCTACACTCCAAAGTCTCCTCTTAACTGACCGCATGACTACTTCAAGAATAAAACTAAGAAATTTACCAAGGTCAATATGGAGCAAAAAAAGAGCTTTCTTATGAAAGCAAAGCATACAAGAGAACCAAGACCACAGCATAAAATAAAACCAAGGCACAACTTGCACACACTTACATTTGCAGCATGACTTCGTTCAGAAACACGCCGTCCACTAGCGCCACATATTCTTCCAGGTTGGTCCCATTTCCTCCAGCTAACGGTCCAAATGTCTTAACCTAAAACATAATCATCACCACCGTGACACTAACTCCACCTTATTCTCTGCCGCAAGGCATTTACCTTCAAACAATGAGCAAATAAATGAATAATGTGTGAGGAAAAATGAATGCTTACCCAGGTGACAAGAGGGCTAGACATGAACTGCTCCAAAAGGGGTGTGAATATTTCGCTCTCCATTTTACAAAAAAACGGTTAACATCAATGTAGCTCCTCTGATGCAAAAATTATGGTAAGTCCTTCTCTGTAGCAACTCTGAAATGCTCTGAGGATTTAGCTGGAGTAAGCGAACCCCATTTTTACCAAGCAGTGCAACAGCAACAAAAAAGTCAGTGCACTGGCAACTGGGATTTACCTTCCTCTTTCAAGAAAAAATGCATTTGAAAGTCCATCTACGCGTATTTCAGCCTTGCCATTGATGTCTCTCCCTTCCTACATACCGAAGGGGTAGAAGGAAGGAAGGAAGGAAAGAAAAGAGGGAGGCTGCCTAGCTAC